TTGGAGTGCCCTTCCCGCTTGCCGCCCTGGGGCCTGTTTTCGGCGAAGGGACTCGTCCTCTGGATGCGCGCTCTTCTGGCCACGTTTCGACTGCAGGCGTCCGAATGTCTTGATTTCTTGCCGGAGTCCTCAGAAGTTCCGACCGCTTACCCAGGGCCGTTTTTTCATCCCGAATCGTTTTTTTGTTTTGTTTACGCCACAGGCCGAAAACGGCCAAACACCTTCCATCGTGTGTGTATGTGTGTATTTGCCGCGAGTTTGTCTTGGCAGTGGGGGTGCCAGCTCTAAGGGCGTGGCTCTCGGCCCTCTGCACAGGACGGGTCCGCGCTCCAGTACGCGGCCGCCCCACTGCGCGCCGACCGCGAGTTTGTGTTCGCCGCTGTTAAGCAGAACGGGGCAGCCCTGGCACACGCGACCCGGGCCCTCTTAGACGACCGGCACCTGGTCTTGGAGGCTCGGAGGAAGAACAAGTACGTACTGATACCGCCGTTCGTCCTGGAGGGCCTTCGTCGCCACGGCTAAGTTTTCCTCAAAATTCTGGTCAGAACGGACCCCGGGAGAGGTTCGTGGAGTGGCGGTATTGGTACCTTTTGGTTTCCCACGAGGCGGTGCAGTGCAACGCCACGGCGATCGAGCTCGAAGAAGAGAGGACCGCATAGACATACACTTTTGGAGCTCTGTGCGGATCTTTCGGATCGGCTCTGGAGTCCCTTGGCGGCGCCTCCTGCGCCGCCCCTCGCGTGCTCCGCACGCCAGGGAGGGGGGTCCAACGCCGATCGAAGGAATTCGCGCGGTGCTCCGAAAGGTTAGGTCTGTGCCGTCGTTTCTTCTTCTGCGAGCACCTCCCGGAGGAGCTCAGTACCGACAGGGCATTCCTCCTCAGCGCCGCCGCGCGGGGTGGCCCGGGTTCAGCCAAGCTGGCCCGAGGTGTCCCCTGCTTTTTGTCGGGGGCAGCCTCGAGGGGGGTGATGATTAGGGTGAGGGGATATCATGGCCCAGACCATGATTTCTCTCCAGATTTCATGGCGCCGATTCTCTATTCTTATTTCAACACGCGCCCTGGTCCCCCCCTCGTCCGCGCACATGATTTGCGACCCTCCTCCCTTGGATTCCCGCCTGTTGGTCGCGCCAGATGTTCTCGCTACGTTGGAGCTCTTCCTCTGGGCCTCGTAGAGGGTGCTCTGGTCAGGGGGGGACAGGCTGATGTGGAGACGCAACGACACCCAATCGCCCAATCATCACCGATAGGGGCCCGATAGCCCACCCTGCCCAGGACCGTACAGTTTCGCTATCGGTGGCCCATCGCCGATCTGTCGGCGATGGATCGCCGATTCCAGCTCGATGTCCCCCCCAGAGCCAGTGCTTCAGCTCCTTGGGGCCCTCTGAGCCTCGTGAGGAGAGCTCTGGAGGCCGTGCGGGGCTCCCTGGAAACCCTGGGGACATTCTTGGGCCAGTAACACCTCTGGCAGTACCCGCCGAGGCGTGGCGGCGGCGGCCGGCGCCGCCGGGAGCGATCGCGACCTGCTGCTTGACCTGGTGCAGTGCAACCCAGAGGCGCATTTTCAGGAAAAATATTCACTGCGTGGAGCTCCCCATATGCGCATCTACTTGCACGGGTCATTCCGCCGTGAGCGTCTAGGCGCAAGAGTTTTTGAAGATAAACCGGCTTAGGTGTTGACAGACTTAGGGCGGATCTAATTGTGATTTAGTTGGAGTGTGAGTGAGTCTCAGTAGTATGAGTGAATCGATGTGCCTATGCGCATGAGTCCGATTATGTCTCAGCTACAGATAAGTGTATCTGCACGTCAGTGGCCTGAGCATGATTGAGCGTAACTAAGTCGAAAGTGATGAAGCAAGGAATAGGGGTGCTCATGCAAGCGCCGTGCGAAACCCTTGCGCTTCGTTGGCTGGTCCAGAAGATTTCACGAAGTGGCTGGATCGTGATACAGCCAGCCACGCCGCGGAGAGGCGGAGCCCAATCGATAAGAACATTCGTAAAACACATGGGGCTATCTACAGGCACATACATAAAACACCAAGGATTCGCGCCCCAAGAGAGGCCCAATCTATAGGAACACATGTAAAACACATAGGATTGGAGCCACAGAAGAGGGGCAATGTATCGGAGGTTGGGGTGTGAGATCGCAGTGAAACGGAGACTCCCCACCAGGAAATCGGTTTCGGTTTCGTGTTCGTGTCGTGCGTGCGGGCGAGGCGAAGCTGCGCGTAATCCTCCTGTAGCTAGGCCGAAGTAGGAGCGAAAGTCCGTTCCCCGTCCGCCAGTGGCTGGGAGGTGTCCCAGTTGGGCCGGGCGGTGTCCTGGGTGTCCGGTGTCAGTAGGAGCGAAAGTCCGTTTCCCGTCCGCCGGTGGCTGGGAGGTGTCCCAGTTGGGCCGGGCGTTGTCCCGGGTGTCCCGGGTGTCCCGGGCGTCCCGGCGCTATCGCATGTCGTTAATATTTCATAATTTATTTTTTCCTGCGCCTGCGGCGGGCTTTCTTATCCAATTCAGTTCATCTTATCCAATCCATCTTGTCCAATCCAATCCATCTTATCTGATCCAACCCATGTTGTCCGATCTTATCTTATACCACCCAATCCAATCCACCCAGCCCAATCCATCAATTCATTTGTTTCTGCGCCTGCGGCGGGCCAATCCAATCCATCTTATCTTATCCAATCCGTTTCTTCCAACCCAACCCATTTTATCTTATTCCATCCATTTTATCCCATCCAATCCAATCCACCCAACCCAATCCATCAATTCATTTTTGTCGGCGCCTGCGGCGGGCTGTCTTATTCAATCCAGCTTATCTTATCCAACCCATCTTGTCCAATCCAATCCATCTAGTTTCATCCAACCCATATTGTCCCATATTACCTTGTACTACCCAATTCAATCCATTTAACCCAATCCATCAATGCATTTATTTCTGCGCCTGCGGCCGGCCAATCCAATACATCTTATCTTATCCAATCCATATTTTACAACCCAGCCCTTCCATATGATCCAATCCATCTTATCCCATCCAATCCAATCCACCCAGCCCAATCCATCAATTCATTTTTGTCGGCGCCTGGACGCGATCGCGGCAGATTGCGAGGCTCGAGCGTTCGGTTGTCTTGTGATTGTCTCGTGGTTGTCTGGTGGTTGTGTCGATGGTTGTCCTGTGGTTGTCCGACAACAAATCTTTGTTCGGCGCTTGCGGCGGCCTTTCTCATTTTGCTTTTGAGGTCGATAGTGAGATCGACAGTGTGATTCACCGATAGGTCGGTCGACGGATAGGTAGATCGTGGGATTTCATCGTCATCGCGATCATCATTGTGGTGGAGGGACTCTGGTAGAGAGGGAGAGAGAAGGCGAGAGACAGAGAGAGACAGCGAGAGAGAGAGAGAGAGAGAGAAATAGAGAAAGCGAGAGATATGTGATCAAGGTGACAGGCTGGAGGTCACTCAGGGTCGGCATTTGATCATACCCCCCAAAAAACCTCCTTATCGCCCGCAGGGCGGTCGTATAGGTAGGAACATACGTACTACACCAAGGATTCGTACCCCAGCGGTCGTATAGCTAGGAACATGCGTACTACACCAAGGATTCGTACCCCAGGAGAGGCCCAATCTATAGGAACACAAGTATAACACTTAGGACTGGAGCCACAGGAGAAGGGCAATCTAGATACACATGTAAAATACTAAGGATTCGTGCCCCAGGAAAAGGCCCAATCTATAGAAACATACGTCAACCACTTAACATTTAAGCCACAGGAGAGGGACAATCTAGGGGAACACATGTAAAGAGGATTCGTGCCCCAGGAAGTAGAGGCCCAGTTTATAGGAAAATACGAAAAAATACGGGCTTGGATCCACTCCTGTTGCCTCCTGGGGCCTCCTGGAGCCTTTTGGTGCCTCTTGGGGCCTCCTGGGGCCCCCTGGGGCCTCCCAGGGCCTCCCGGGGCCACCTGTGGTTTCCTTTGGGCGTCCTGAGGCTTCCTGGGGCCTTCTGAAACCTTTTGGGGCCGCCTGACGCCTCCTGACGCCTCCTGACGCCTCCTGGGGCCTCCTGGGGCTTCCTGGGGCCTCATGGGGCCTTTATCCTGGAGACTCCTGGGGCCTCCTCGGGAGGATTCAGGCCCCAGGAGATGCCCGATCGGGCAGGCGCCTTGCGTGCCGTGTTTATCTTGACGGCGCGGGCGGTGAAGCCCACCTCCTTGGGCAAGTTGGCGACCGTGTCTTTCTTGCCCTGCATCAGCTTCAGGAGCGCAACGCCCCCGTCGACGTCGAACGTAGACGTATCGCCGCCGTTGTCGCCCGAGCCCGCCAAAGCCGCTTACAGAACGCATTGGGGCACGCGTCCACGACAACCCGCACTGGCGCTCATGAGGGGGGGAGCGGGGGGGGGCAGGATAAGATGATCACTATTTCACAGTACTCACCAGCACAATCAGCATGACCATCATAATCATGATCAGCATTCTTATCATCATCACCATCATGATGATCATACTCATTATCAGCAGCATCACCATCACCATCACCATCATCATCGTCATCATAGTCATATCAGCATCACAATTCTCATCAGCAGCATCATAGTCGTCATCACGAACATTGTCGTCATCATAGCCGTTCAAACATCATCTTTATCATCATCAAATCACCAGGCCCTCTCCACCATCGTTTTTATCAGCATCGCCATATTCATATATATATATATATGTATCACCATCGCCATCCTCATCACCATTCAGATCTCCCAGGTCCCCATCATCATCATCATCATCAGCATCATCATCATCATCATCATCAGCAGCATCATCGTCATCATCATCACCAACATCATCATCATCACCATCATCATTATCATCATCAACGCCCTCTTCACCGTCCTCCAGCCATCATCATCACCATCGTCCTCCCCATCGTGCCCATCAGCGTCCGCCCTCTCTTGACCCTCGCCTTTGTCCTGCCCCCCCCCCATCTGCTGGGTGCCAATCCAGAGTGGGATGGGCCTCCATTCCCAGCGCGCTGGCCTGGACCTCGGTCTTTGGCTGCTCCTCGACGTCGACGCCGACCATCACCGCGACCTGGCCGTCGTCATCCGTCTTGCCTTCGCCGAAGCAGTGGGTCCGTCGGCGCTAGCAGGAGGCTTCCCCGACCTGGCCAAGACAGTGGGGGCAGCCGCCCTGCTAGGGCGCGCCACGGGCACCGCAGTGGCCAAGGCTGGCGGGGAGAGCATGGGCCAGGGGGAGCTCGCCAATGACCCGCAGAAGGCGCACGTCATCATCATGATGTCCCCGTGGGACGTGCTGCGCATGACTGGATTGATGCTCGCGCTGATCCGGGCAGCGGGCAGCGCTGGGCACTGCTGGGGCCCGCGCCGGGGCCAGAAGCGGCCAGCCGAGGACCGGGCGGAGGAGCAGCCGCCGAGGGGTGAGAACCAGGGCAGGGGCAGCGACCGAACTGGGCGCCCATGGAGGATCTTCCTCGAAGCAGGGGCGCAGGGGACGGTGACTTTCAACGGCGCGCGGTACGTGCGCATGGCCAGGGGTCCAAGCGGGGCGACGAGGTGACTCGGGAGCTCGCGATGACACCCCTGGCGACAGGGGCCGCCAGCCGTGGCAGGGCCAGGCGAGCTCAGGAGATACTGCCGCGGGCGAGCGTGCCGCCGCCAGCCTCTGGCCTTGCGCGCGGGGTCGCGGCGTGGAAGGGGAGCTGCCGCCATAGGGCCGCGCGGGCAGGGCCGCCGCAAGCGGCTGGCTGGGCGAGCGGCGCGGGGCCGGGTGCAAGTAGTATTGAGGGATTCCCATCGAATTCTTGACGCTTCGCGTATCCCCACCAGCAAAAAAAGCTCCCGTGCATGACTTGCCACAGTTTGGCAGCGGTTGGCCCAGGCCGTGCCCACACCTGTGGCTAGTGGTGCACCGCTCACCACAAGGATCCGTGCGCACTGACGTCACCCCAGCGTCGCTCCCACGCTCAACCTTGTTGAGCGGTCACTTCCTGGGCTTCTTCGTGACTACGGACGGTTGCTTGTGCTGCAGCGGGTATGCGTCAGCGCAGCTTTCTCAGAGCGCTATTTCCACTCTTTCTGGTCCGCCAGGGCATCCTGGAGAGCTGCTCTTTGTTGTGTCACTTATTTGCTTCCTGATACACGCCCCTCATCTTCGGTTGGCCCTCGTGTCTCGCGCCGAGGTCGGGAACAGGTGTACCTTCCACACTGCGTCAGATCATGTCGTTGATCTTTCGCGTGCGAACGCATCCTTCCGCAGTTGTTTTGAGGGTCGACGTGCATCGGTTGGTCACTGATTTCAGTCGTGCCTTTACAGCCGCGTTGGTGCGTACTCTGAAGCTGCGACGGTTCGCTGACGCCGTCAGAGTCCCGTCTTCCTGGAGGATGCCTGCGTCAGCTCTCTCGCCTACGGTCTCGCTCATACCCGGCAGACACCCTGGGCTCTCTGACGCTCTTCTTGCACGGAGTCAAGATCCCCACTGCCCTGTGGTCGTCGGACCGGACACGACACTTGACTGGGGGTGTGCATCGCGCCATTTTGGCAGCGTAATTCCTGCTCCCTGGGTGCCTGTCTCCCCTCAGACTCCCTGGGCTGCAGCTTGCGCCGCCGCCTGATCCGCGGCCCGCGCGCGCGCCCGGCTAATTTGTTACGGCCGCAGCCCGACCGTGACCTGCCGCCGCCGGCGCTTCCGCCTGCGGCTGTAAAAAAAAGTATCCCCACCAGCTTTGCGACCCGCTCTCTGGAATCGCCCTTGGAGCCGCAGATAAAAATAAAAAAACGTATCCCCACCATCCCATCCAGAAACGACGCCCAGGCGAATAGAGGTGATCATGGAAGCGGGGCAGCATACAGAGGAACAAGGGGCTTGGGAGGCCGTCGTACCCAAAGGGGGGGGGATGGAGGAGGAGTCGGAGGCGGAAGAGGAGGAGGATGATGAGGGTGGGGAGGGAGGAATGAGGAGGAGGAGGAGGAATAGGCGGATGATGATGTTGGTGTTGATATTGATGATGTTGATGATGACGATGATGGCGGTGGTCTTGACGATGGTGATGGTGATGGTGATGATGATGATGATGATGGTGATGATGCTGAAGGGGGAGGAGGAGGAGGATAAGGGCGATCAGAAGAGTCGAAGGCCTCTTGAATGCCTCGCGGAGTCTCTTGGGATGTCTCTTGGGATACTCTTTGAGGTCTCTTGAGGCGTCTTGGGGGCCTCTTGGCAGTCCCAGGAGCTTCTTGGACCGTCTTGGGTGCCTCGGGGGAGCCTCTTGGGGGCCTCTTGGGGGTATTTTGGGGGACTCTTGGAGGCCTCTTGGGGCCTCCTGGTCGCCTCTTGGGGCCTCCTGGGCGCCTCTTGAGGCCCTCTTGTGCCGCTCTTGGGAGCCTTGGGAGCGCTCTTGGTGCCATCTTGCAGGTGATCGATCAAAGGAAGGGGGTCCCTCAATTAGCACCCCCCCTCGGGAGCCTCTAAAATCGGCCCAAACCCTAGTAAACCGATGATTTTGGCTTCCTCGCCGTGGCCGTTTTGGACGCTCCAAGTACCAGCGAAACCCCCCGTCCAGGTCCAGGGGAGGGGGTTACGGGGAGGGGTAAACCCTTCCCCGAAGGGGATGAAGGAAGTTGGAAGAGGAAACTCCCGGAACCACCTACGCCCAGAGGGCTGGTGGGATTTTAGGTAATTTCCTTCACAGCCAGTGGTGGCGCGGGATTGCCGCCGCCGGCTCACCGCGCTGCGCGCGCCCGCGGGGTGCCTCCGTGGCCTGCAGGGCACGCGCGGCGCAACAATGCCGAATGAGGCCCCTGCGAGGGCGCGGGCTGGCGGTGCGGCGGGTCAGCCGCCGCGCCAGTGCATGCGGGGCGCGGTTGCTGGAGTCGCTGGGCGCCCGCGGGCAGCTGGGCGCCTTAGACCCCCCCTTGCGCTGTCGGCTGGGGAAAACGCTTGGGGGAGGGGCTATGGCAGCCCGCGGCCCCAAGGGTTTGTTTTGGGCCGGAGTCCGGAGTCACTCCCGCCCCACCGAGCACGGGCTCGCCTGGCGTTCGCGCCGGCGCCCCATGCTTTCGCCGGCTGCGCGCGCGACGGCGAGTACGCATGGCGAGCGCTGGACTGCCGCGGTGGCTTCCTCGTCCACGGCGTCAGCTTGATGAATGGGGGTAGCGGCGGAAGTCGAGTGAGCCTGCTGCGGACGCAGCTTACGTGCCATTGGCAAACGGATCGTCATCGTCGTCTGATGCCGTTGCTGAGGCTGCCGCCCCCCCTCGAGTGCCAGGCTTGAGTTTGAATTCTCAATGTTGAGCCGCTGGCCCGTTCATCTAGGATGTTGAAAAATGCAGCATGCCCCGGGGGTTTCCCCTCCTTTGCCCTTGCTCTTGTTTTGCTTTCTTACCCATCTCCCCCCCATCTGGCGCGTAGTTTTTCTGGGCCAAGCTGGTCCACCCAGGGGGCCCGCAATGGGCATTTTTCCATATCTTTCAAAGTGGCAGCTTCCAGTATCGCAGGACACCGTCCGCAGCGGTAGAGGCCCGCTGCCAGCACTTGGGAATCGTCTTGGAGGCTCTTTGGGCGACTTGGAGGCCTCTTGGGCCGTGTGGAGGCAATCTTTGACGTCTTGAACCGATCGTTCGGCGATTCGGGGCCCTCTTGGACCATGTTGAGGGGCTCTTGGGCCATTCCTGGCTCGTCTGGACGTTTGCGTTGGTCCCAGGGCCCTCCGAGGGAGATGGTATTCTGACCCAGGACCTCCCCCCCCCCCCCACCCCCCCCTCCCTGGCCCCCCCCCCCTCATCGGGGAAGGGATCGAAGGGAACGAGCTTCCCTTCGACTCAATTGCGATGTTGCTCAATTTGAGGTGGGAGACGGCGACGGTTTGAGGTGGGAGACGGCGACGGCCGTATGGCGACGGCGACGACAACGGGGAGGGGAGCAGCGAGGGGGACAACAATCATGGCGAACAGCACCGGGGCGGGAGCAGCGAGGGAGGCAACAACCACGACGAACAGCCCATTCCACACGCAGATGATTATCATTAGTATTGTTATTACGGTTATTAATAGCAGTCGTATTATTGTAATTATTTTTCGTATCGTTATTACAATGATTCGTTTACTTCTTCTCCCCGCACCTCTCCAGAAGGACGCAAAGAAGACAAAACGGCATACCCATACACTCTCGGAGCTCCGAAAGTGCATGTTTTCGCAGCTTTTTGTGTTTTAACCGCGCCCCGAAGTCGCTGAGGACTCATCCGCTCAAAATCGGTCCCCGGACTCCTCCCGGGGTCGCAACCGATAATCGGGGGCCCCAAACGGGGTGGTGACCACACCGTGCGGTGAGTCGGTGGGGATTCGGGATCACCGCACGGTTTTGGGACTCGGGTCGTTCTCCGAGGACGTCTCGGGCGACTGGGGCATCCGAGGTCCCAAAACCGTGCGGTGACGGACCGTGCGGTGAGGTCACCGCACGAGGTCACCGCACGGTCTGTCACCGCACCGTTTCGGGACTCCAAGGAGAAGTTCCTCTCGAGCAGCGTCCAGCCGTGGCGACGACGGGGCTCCTTTCCTCCCCCCATTCTGCTGGCCAGAACCGGTGCTGGGCCACTTCGGCCGCCGGCTCCAGCCGGAGGCGTACCTCCACGCCCCGAAGTCGCTGCAGTTCGACGGCCACTTCGCGCGCGCCGCGGTGCAGCGGAACGGGGCGGCGCTGAGGTACGTCCCGCCGGAGGCCCTCACGAGCTCCAAGGCGGCGTCCCGGCAGCCCCGCGGCGTGCTGGTTGAGCCCGCCGGCCACGAATAACAGCGGCCCATCCTCCCTTCCTCAAGCAGTGGCGAAGTTTCCTGGCTCGCCTATAGCCCTACCCAGAAATGTTCTAGGAACCTTTTTGTGGTTTCCACGAAATGTTCTTAGAACATTTCTGGCGGAGTCTGTCTTGTTTGATCACATCGGTTTATGTTATGATAACATTGTTTTCAGAACATTGTTGGGTTCTAAGAACATTGCGTGGTAGGACTATAGGAATGCCAGGACGGTCGGTCCCTGCTCAACTTCCTTCTTCGCTCCCGACCCCTTCTCCCCACCTCGCATCGGGGAAAAACACGACGGCATGCTTTTGACGGTTTTCAGCCCCCTCGGGCCCTCGACAGGACCATCAACCAAAACGATTCGGGACGAAAAGCCGGTCCCAGGGCATGGGTCGAGACTTTCGGGGTTCGATGTCGCCCCATTGCCCTGCGCGCCCCATCTGGCCGCCAGCCGCCGACAGGAAGGCGACGTGGTTAAGCCAGAACTGTCGAGCCAGGGAGGGATAAGATGAGGGACGAGACCACTGAGAGCTGATACCCGTTCAACAACATTCCAAGCCCGAACTCCCAAATTGTGAATGCCGTAAGGATAAACCCAATTCCAGAAAATTGGCTTGAGAGATCCGGCCCAATAGAACGCCTCGGATCCGTGAAAGCGAGCAAGAGAAACCATCGACCCAGGGCAACACGCTCGATTTCGATCTCCCACCAGTCCCGAAAATCCACTCGATTCAGATTTTTTAGGTTCACGCCAGACCGCACGGGAA